TGGGATCATGACCTGAGCCCAAGGCAGACGCTTAACGACTGAGCCACCCAGGTGCCCCTGGTGGCTGCTTTTATAAATAAAGTTTTATTGGAACACAGCCATGCCCACATGATTACATATTGTCATGGCTGCTTTCAAACTACCAGGGCAGAGTTGAGTAGTTGTGACAGAGACCAGGTGGCCCACAAAGCTGAACATATTTAATATCTGGTCCTTTACAGAAAACTCTGCTCAGCCCTGATTAAAAACAAAACAAAACAAAACAAAGCAGGGGTGCCTGGGTGGCTCAGTCAGTTAAGCCTCTGACTCTCGATCTCAGCTCAGATCTTGATCTCAGGGTCATGAGTTCAAGCCCCACACTGGGCTCCACACTGGGTGTACAGCCTACTTTAAAAAAAAATAATACAACATAAAATAAAAATAAAGCAAAACAGTCCTTCCATCCCAGTCTCCAAAAAAACCTAGATTTATGCGATTAAAAGACTAGGAGGAATTTGAGATTTAAAATATATATATATGTCTGTGATACCAATACCTGGGTATTATTAAATAAAGTCCTAGATTGGGAAGAAAACGAGTTCTTGTAGGTTCCTTGTTTTCCACTGGTAACTGTACCATCAAGCAGAAATTATCACAGTCTAGGACTCTACAATGCACCTTTTTTTAACACGTTTCCAAAATTAAGATTCACTTTACAATTATTCTCTCTTGGTTCCTGGCACCCCTCCCCCAAATCTACCACCACAAAACTCCTAGTGAATCTATGGTGTGCCTTGTTAGGTGGTAAGTCTTGCAGCCTTAGGATCAATGTTAAGCTTGGAGCAAAACCAAATCAAGAGTATGAAGCCCAGCACAATGGCTGGGTCAGCAAAGCAGATGCAAACGGAAGTGCTTTGCAGAATCCTCGACACCAGACTGAAGGAGAGAAATGCTCAAGCTCAGGAAGGTGTCCTTCGAGAAGAAATACTGTCAAGGAAAAGAAAACTTTTAAATGTGATTTTAATATGTCTCAGATTATTATTCACAGATCAATCCATAAAGGATGAAATGAAAAGCAGAAATAATCCATCTTCCCTAGGAGTTTCTTTTACTAGGAGTAAAAGGTAGAAGAAATGAGACGTGTGCAATGATAAGAGTCACATCTGCCTCCCTGTACCACACATTAACAAAGTTGAAATTATGCAGATATTTCCCTTATGCCTGCATAAGGGTGTCCAGACACACGTGCACACACACTTGCGCTCTGCCACTCAGTTCCAGAGAGCCTTACCCTGCAGATGTCCACAAGGAAATTCTCAAACAATTTCCACATGTGATTGCTGGTGTAAATCTCCTTCATTTCCACCTCAGTATCCACATAGCAGTGATTAAGGAAGTTAATGTATGCAATTTTAACCTGAAGACAGAAACAGACTTTTCTGAAAAATCGATTTGGTATATGTGGAATAAGAGAAATGCAAATCAAAACTATGTTAGAACACTATTTTCACCTATCAGATAAATAAGAATCAAAAAGTCTGAGAAAATGCTGTGTGGACAAGGCTGAGAAAAATGCCATCTTGTCATTTCCTCCTTCATTAGAATCACCAGTTATTATCATCTCATTATATTCGCATAAGCCCATTGAACAGCCATGCAGGGCAATTACAGCACATCCATATGATAAAATTTTTATGTAACTATAAAAAAGGAATGTGGACTCTCTTTACAGACTGATAACGAAGAGAAGAACAGTGTATCCATAATGTCACCTCTTGTGTTTAAAAAAAAAAGAGGGAGCAGGGGAATGGAGAATATATATTTGTTTATATGCAGAATTCTAGACAATGTACAAGAACATAATAAATGATTTTCTGTGGGGCGGGAGGGGACAGATTAGGAGATTTTGCCTAGTTTACTCCTTTATAGTCTCTGCTATTTGAACTTTTCAAAATGTATTAACTTTTCAAAAAAATAACCTAAAAACATAATAGTGTATATATATATGATACATACTACATATGCTATATATAAATATATGTATATTTAGTTTAAGATATAAATTAGTAGTATGTATTTTAAATATACAAAGGCAAACTATATTCCGAATGATCCACAGTTTTTGTTGTCGTTTTTGTTACCAGCCAAAATATATGAATAAGAAAATGGACAGCTTAGAAGGAATCATTTCCAAAATCTAACAGGTATTTATTATGGGTGGTGGAATTATAGATTATTTTGATTTTCCTATTGCTTTCCTGTAGTTCCTCAGTATTTTATAATTGTCATCATTTCTACAATACAAATTTTCATTTTAAAGAATAAACTTGCAGAATAGGTCTTACTTGCACAGGAACCATATCTCAACCCATTCAATCTTGTTTTTCAGACATTCATTCAAAGGGGATTCAAAAATCCTCTTTGCTCCACAGGGTGAATTATTAATTTCCAAGAACAGAAGTGCAGCAGCAGATTCCCAAGGTTCTCAAGGAGACAGTAGGAAAGACTAACATCCCCCCGCCGCCGACGATCTTCATGCACAAAATTGGCATTCAAGAAAATGTTGCTCCCACCAACTGAGATGTCACTATGAAATGAGCGACAGGTCTCAGCACTGTGAGGTCTTGTGTGGGCCGGCCATGTGCAGAGGCATGACAAAGGCTCGCTTACCTCGGGGATGCAGTCCTCGTGGGTCACAACGCGGACGATGTCATCCAGCGGGAGCAAAGAGTTGCACTTTATCTCCGTGTAGACGTTCTTGCCCTCGGTGCACACAGCCAAGAGCTCCACCAGGTGGATGTGGTACATGAGAGGGCTGTTCTCGTCCATCCGGTCCCGTTCTGACCTCATCATCTGGATCAGGGTCTGGAAAGAGGCTCTGTCGTTGTAGAACACGAGGACGTCCTCTCCCGAATTAACCAGCTATAAAAAGAACAGGACTTGTTTATATTACACGCTTGCGGGGGGGGGGGGGGAGAGACACCGTTTAAAAAATATCTACTCGCAGAGAAAGAGAGATGTTCTGTCAGCATTTGCTTTCCAAAGCCAGTCTCACCCATATTACTAAACTCATGGAAATTTCATTCATTTCTCTGAATCAGTAACTAAGAATCTCCAGCAGCAGCATTTTAATTGACAGATACAGGTATTTGACAGTCGCCTTAACAAACTATCAGGGGAAGAGAAAGTCTACAGACCAACATTCATGTATCAAGTGGAAATGTAGATGGCAAGCTTGCACTTGGATTTCCAAACCTAATATTTAGGCTATGATTTTTCTTTTTAAAAATGTTTCCATTCTTTTTTATGCTTGAAAAGTAGTATCCCTCTTACAACTCTTTCACATACTGCCTTCTGTCTTCACAATTACCAATTATCCACTTCTTACTAAGATACGCCTTCCTTTCAATACTCGTCAAAAAAATCAAGGCATTCCTACTTATAACTTGTCCCCAGGACTGTGTGTGGCTTCTCATAAATCTACTGAAGAGTTAGTCAATTTCAGCACTGTGGGAAATACAGAAGATCCAAAAACGAGCTGGCACAGAAATCAAAATAAATATAGTCAATAGTATTTGCATAATAACAACTCACCTCTATAAGCCCTAATTAGGTGCCAGATACCATGATAAACACCCCATGTGGATTATCTAACCTCACTGTGCCTCAGTTTTGTCTGTAAAACTGAGGACAAAGATGGTATCTAACTCATGGTGCTGCGTCATGTAGATTAAATAACTGATTATATGTAAATTGCTTAGAACCGTGACTAGGGTATGGCAGGCTTCCAATAAATGTTAGCTATTATTGTCACCATTATTTCACTGAGTCGGCATATCAGCTTCTCAGCTGAATACCACTGCATCTTCATTTTGTAGGAAGGCGCGCTGAGGGTTGGGGAAGTCATCAGCTCACAGTGCCAGTAAAGTAGCCTAGCCTACATTCACATCCCAGGTCAAGTCAATTCTTTTAATTACACTACACTACCTTCCATTGGAATCCTATGATTTTTTTTATTAGACAGGATTATAAATCCAAGTGTTAGGTGGATTTACTTGAGGTTTCATTCTTTAAACAGGTGGAAAGATTTAATTAAGTATATTTGAACACCAAAACCACAGGTGTGGCAGAGGGCTTTCCTGGTCAGACAGCATCCCATGGGGCACCGACTTCCCACAGACAACCCAGCTTCTTCCCATGAATCAGCAAGCAACAATTTTTCTAGCTAGTAAAGTGAATAATTAAGGAAAAAGTCCTATAATCCACGGGAACATGGGCTGTTCTGGCTCACTGGTTTCTACCTACATTTAATCTCTACTCATTGTAATTTGGGTTCAATATTCCTATTTTTTCCCCTCTCAGAAGAATCTGAGCCAAAATGCCTTAAAATAAATAGGTTCACTGCTATGAAAAATCTGATCAGATTCTCACCTATATACACAATTTAAGCTCACAAACACACTCTCTCTCTTACACACACAAACCACAATTACGTTTTGTCCATTTATGTGGCTCCGGGACAGGGTGCCAGTTCATATAGACAGCAATAATTTAAAAAATTTGTATGGAACACCAGATGAAGGTATATAGAGATAAATAGTTGTCACCTCAGCCATGACCATGTCTTGGCATTTTTTGATGAATTTCCCTTCTGCCTTGACGATCGTCTGCAGGAACTTTATGTACTGGACGTTTCGACCGTGAGTCTCAATGCAGTGAACAAAGTGCTGGACAACCCGCTCATTGATCTCACTGCAGAGCTGGAAATTGTTCATGAAGATGTGCTGCATGGTGACTGCCTCCAGGATCTGGCACAAGAGTGAGGGCAGGAACACAGGGAAATGGTCAAAAGGCGGCTAGAACAGAGTACAACGTGAGAAAAAGTCTACCAAAGCACACAGAGAGAAGCATTTAAACCCACAAAGAGACCTTTCTCTTTTCTCACTTCTGTGCTGCCTTTTTTTTTTTTTTTAAGATTTTATTTATTTATTTGACAGAGAAAGACACAGCGAGAGAGGGAACACAAGCAGGGGGAGTGGGAGAGGGAGAAGCAGGCTCCTCGCCGAGCAGGGAGCCCGATGCGGGGCTTGATGCTGGGACCGTGGGATCATGACCTGAGCCGAAGGCAGATGCTTAAGGACTGAGCCACCCAGCCGACCCCTGCCTTCTTTTTTAATCATAATAAACACAGAGAAAGGGAAACAAATCACTAGTCTTCAGCTCAATGAACTACACAGGAAACCCCAGCACCCAGATCAAGAAACGAAACGCCTCGCCACCCAATTTAACTCGTTTTGATTTCTGCAACCACAGATTAGTTTTGCCCGCTCTTGAGTCTCCTGTACTCTCTCCCGTCTGGTTTCTTTTGCTCAATAGCACATTTGCAATGCTCTCAACATGTTGCATGTATCAGTAGTTTGTTTGCGGTCACTGCTATGTATATTCCACAGCACGGATAAACCAAAATCTGCTTATCTATTCTATTGCTGATGGGCATTTGGGTGCGTATCCAGTTTTAATGGCAAAGAGTAACACTACACTTAGCACAAATAGGGCTGCTCTGAGCATTCTTCAACGTGTCTTCTGCTAAACTTTAATATATGTGCATTTCTGTTGGGTTTACACGCAAGAGTGGAATTGCTGGGTTGCAAAGTATAAACGTTTGGCTTGAGAAAGTACTTGCCAACAGCTTTCAAAAGATGTTAACAATTTCTACTCTACACTAGAGCTTTTCCATACCCTAGCTGATTTACAGTGTTGTTGGTCTCTTTGGTTTTAGTCATACTTTGCTGTGCAAATCTTAGTTAATTTACACTTCTCTGATGATCACTTTGTCCCATTTACTGGCTGTCTGGATTTCTTCTATGGATGATTTCATTTTAAAGTTTTTTTTTTACCCATTTTTAAAAACCCCTTTTAAAAATGGTTTGTCCTTTTCCTTATTGACTTTTTTGAGTTGGTTATATATTCTGGATAGGAGTTCTTTATTGGACACATGCAATGCAAATGTCTCCTCCCACTCTCTGGTTTGCCTATGGAGGATTTTAATAACATCATTTGGTGAATAGAAGTTTTTAAAGAAGCCTGGTTTATTGATATTTTCCTTTATAATTAGTGCTGTTTGTATACTGTGTAAGAAGATTTCAGTTTCCACCAGGTCATCAAGATATTTTCATGTTATCTTCTAAAAGATTTATTTTCTATTTTTTACCCAGAGTTATTGAGTGACTAAGTTATATGTTTGGTATGAGGTAGGGGGCTTTAACCTTTTTATCTTTAGTCTTTTCTTTCCTCGTACATAACAAAGAGGGAGTATTACCCCTCAGCCTATCAGACCTTCTCCTCCAAAGCCCTAGTGGTACTAAAAAATGAGTGTGTGAGTGTGCGTGTACTTACACGGATGTCCTTTGTAGAATTATTTACAAATCCAAAAAATTAAACATTGCCTAAATGTCTACTAATATGAGAATGATGTTTAAAAAGTTACAGCCATACTAGGGAACTCCATGTAGCCATCACAACTTCTCATCAAAAATGCAAAAAATTTATATATCTATGACTGGCAAAGACAGCCGTAATGTATTAAGTGAAAAAATCAAAATGCAAAATAAAGTGTAGAGTACGTCACAATTTTTCTTTAAAAAACTGCACAATACATACTTTCAAAACATATCTGACAAACTAAAGTATAACACAGTTATGTTTTAAATGAATATATTATGTATTTGTATGTATCTAACGTACTATGTATTATATTATGTACATCGAAAACTTTATGCATGACCTCAGGAGGATGTGGCTGAGAATCAGCAACTCTCTAGGGCTAAAATTTGATGTAATAAAGAATGTTAAGAAAAAATATAAATAGGGGCGCCTGGGTGGCTCAGTTGGTTAAGCGTCTGCCTTCGGCTCAGGTCATGATCTCCAGGGTCCTGGGATCGAGCCCCGCGTCGGGCTTTCTGCTCAGCCAGGAGCCTGCTTCTCCCTCTCCCACTCCTCCTGCTTGTGCTCTCTCTCTCTCTCTCTTTCAAACAAATAAATAAAATCTTTAAAAAAAAATATATATATAAATAGATCTTACCTTGCCCTACCACCTCCTCCTCCCTTCCCCCGCTTTCTCCCCTAAAAAGATGGGGAGTATTTATGTCCTCCTAAGAGTTGGTCCAAATGTTCCCCTTGGAATGAATGTTGCATTATAACAAGTCCCCGTGGTCACAACAGCAAAAGAACAAGCTGTTCCTCTTACTGCTTCCTGCCCTCCTCCCCTCATAGATTTCCAGACAGGTCTGGAGTCTTACCCCTGGGTTGAGAAACAGGTTTATGTGTTTGTGTAGCAAGGCTTGATTCTGCTGGTTGCCTGCACAGAAATTCTGTAGGAATTCATGTGCCAGCCTCATTATCTCCTGCATCTTGGTATCTTCAGCCTGTGTGGAAGGAGATAGATGAAAAATAGGTTGAAAATAGGGCTATGCTGTGGACAAAAGAAGGTCAGCAGGCGGCAGCACCTATCTCCAGGCCAGGAGACCCAGTTCCTCGACACACCCATCACCTGCCGAGTGGGGTGCTGCAGGTGCTTGCTGAGGGCCTGTTGTGTGAAAATATGGGGGTGCTGTGCTGTTGACACTTCAAAGAAGCCAGTAACCTGTTCAATTGTCCTATATCCTCTTCCGCTAGCCATGGTCAGATACAAAAAGAATTTATTCGGGAAAGATGCAACACAGAGTAGAAGCTGAGAGGAAGCCTCTGGATCCCATTTCTAGCAATGCCCCCAAATCTCTGAACCCCCCCCCATTTCTGAGAACAGAGAGACAGCAGAGCAACAGCTGAGTGCCTCACTGGTGGAGAGCCCACATCGCCCCAGCTCTCGGGCTCACCCTTCTTAATCTGCCTAATGCATATATGCATTAGAGCTTTTGGCAGGAGATAACATGTCGGAGTAGAAATCGCTTTAGATTATCAATTTGGGCAAATATACTTGCTGTAATCCTTTCCTTGTCACCTCAGGCTCAGCATTTAACCCAAGAGGTAGTTTTCCCATCTGCAAAATGGGGATAATACCTGCCCCAGGCATTTCACACAGCTGGTTATGTGATTCTCATTTCCTACAGTAAAAACATATACTCAGTGTTTGTAAAGCATTAGATGCGCCATGATAAGACAACTGATTAAACCCTACTGCCATTCTGCCCAATTCTAAACAAATAAACCTTTAATGTAGCAAAGATAAAGGAGAATGAAATGGAGTCATCCCTCCTATTCGTTTAGCCCACGGGAACCTCCCTAAGTCTTCTCACCTCTTTTCAGAGGCTGGAGAGCCTAGCAGTTAGGAAGGCAGGCCCTGAAACCTGACTGCTTAGTTCTTAGGCCAGATCTACCACTCACTAGCTGTGTGACGTCGGGCAAGTTACTTAACCGTTCAGGGCCTCCGTCTCCTCATCTGCAAAATGGAGGTAATAAAAATGCACACTTCATATGGTTGCCATGAAGATTAAGTGACAAAATCCGCGTCAAGTGCTTAGATGGTTGTCACATAATCAACGTTAACTACTGGTCCTGGTCTAGACCAAGGGTCAGACAGAACTTTAGGTTTTGTGGGTCAAAAAGCAAAAGAGAGGACATCATGCACGTACCACTAAGAATGTAACTATTTAAAAATGGAACAATCATTCTTAGCTAATATGCTGTATAAAAACAGGTGGTAGGCTGGATTTGGTTCATGTCTGCAGTTTGCTCACCCTGGTCTAGATAATAATCCTGGGAGAAAACAGGACACATCTGTCAGAACAACTAACAGAAGGAGTCTGAGCTACCAGCTTTAACAATCCAAAACGGGCAAGTTTAAGAGGACATTAATAGCAAATCCCCACACAACAGAGTGGGTATTACATTTGTCTCCCATTAACAGAGAAAAGTGGCACGCCTTCCAGTTCTAAGAAATCAGAGGCCTTGGGACAGAGAGAGACACTGCTGGTTGGCAGCAGTCACCTCAAACAATTCTGCACTCTTTCACTTCTTCAGCTAAAAGGAGAGTCTGCTGGGGCTCACAAAACTAAAGACTTCATCATTTGAAATGGATTTTTACAAGACAAGTAAGCTCTAAAGACATCACATAACAAGAAAGTATCTGTAGCAATTCCTCCACTGTTCTCCCACACTGGGATATCTGCACTCATGCACACACACACACACACACACAATGTTCTGCCACCAATTCCAGCCACATCAGGTTACCTATTCGTTATGTTAACATTACTCTACGAAGGCACAACTTTAAGGCAACTGATGATATTATGAGGCAAAGATAAGGCCAGCAAACTACCTCCTCACATTCTTTACACATAGCAAGGTGGTGAATCAGCTTGCTGGTTCTAGTCTAAATGTCAGTCAAGTTTGGATGACATGCACACTTACATTAATTTCAAGTTAGTTAAGTTCCTGACCTAGTAGAGGGATTAAGCTTAATTGTGGCTACTGAAAGGCTTGAGTAGCCTGAATCCCACAGTCCCCATGACTGTGGTGGTGGCCTCTGCCAAGAACGTCCTTGCGCACAGGGCAGCAGGTACAGCAAACAAGACCTGGGCTCCACAACTGGGCAGGCTGGCTCTGTCATGTGTTGCTGGGCCGTACAGGCAAGGTATTGAACCACTGGCGACAGCCTTCTCACCTAAAGTGGGGCTACTAAAAGCATGACCTCTCTCATGTGCTGTCTTAAGGATGAAATGAACTAGTGAATGAAAATGACCTAGTGCAGTGCCCCCTGGCAAGCACGAGCAGTAAGCCTTCTTCAGGCAGCTCTACACCAGCAAGTTTCTCTGGCAGTCATTGGTAAACTCAAGAGGCAGAAATCTATGCCCTGGGACTCTAAATTTCCCCAAGCCTCAGTCTCCTCATCTGTCAAGTGGGAACACCATGACAACTGCACTGGATTTTGGAAGCGAACAGATGCTTTTGCAAGCGTCAGGCAGGCTGCACAGTGCTAAGCACTATTTATTAATTTGTGTCAGGCAGGCTGCACAGTGCTAAGCACTATTACCCTACTTCCCTAAATCCTAGCACTGTCAATGACAAACGCTGGCATGAAAGAACACGACAGAGAGTATAGCTTCCAACGACAGAAAAGAGGGCTTAGAGCAAAGTATATGCTAGATCCAAATACTCGGCCAGACGTCAGCACGCTCCTGAGGACCTCCCAAGTGGGCAAGCTCTATGTTCCCACATGCCCCTAGCAACCTGTAGGGCTTAAACTGCCTGAAGGGCACTTGCAGAGGACGCTGTGCAGCACAAGCCCGTGTGCAGACAGAGCTCCGTCTATCGAACCTTCGCATCCAGCATGGCGTGGGAGCGAGGCGACAATCAATGGATTCTGGCTTAGAATCCTACAGTTGGAGGCAGGTTGTGGGTGATCCCATTTTATGATGCTCTTTGTTTCATACAAGTCACCTACAAGGGCCTTATACTCACGGTCATCACATCTACTTCATGTCTTGGCCAACGATACCAAATGCGAAGGGTTTAGGAAAACCCGGGGATCCCCCCCCACCCCGGAGGGGGACTCGCTCACCTTCTCATAGGGGATCTGCAGCAGCTCCAGCACCACGGCGTGCGCGCTCATGTTCCGGAGCAAGCGCTGCTGCTGCTTCCGGCTCTTCCTCACAGACGCGCTCTCCTGAACACAGAGTTTGCTGAGGCGAATCAGAATCTGTCCGAGAGAAACACCCAATGGTTGTACCTCTGACCAACCTCGCAGTTCTGAGCTCCAATGTACCGCATGGCAACAACAGTCAGTGAAGGTGTACGTACAGGTGAAATTTGCTGAAGTAAATCCTAAGTGTTCTCACCCCCCTCGAAGAGCTTGCTCTGCGAGGTGATGGAGGTGTTCGTTAACCTGATTGTGGCAGTCATCTCAGAGAGTATGTCTATCAAATTACTGCGTGTCATGCTTCAAGGAGGTGACAGTACTTTTTTGGTCAAGTATACCTCAATAAAGCCAGATGAAATTTTTTTGAAAAAAAAAAAATGAAAGAAATAGACCTCTGAAAACTAGGGAGCATGACTGAGAAAAAAAACCGTAGGCACCAGTCGTGGGTAGGGAGGCGGAAGTGATCAAAGCATATTAAAACACCCAAAACGAGGGAGATGGTGCTCTAATATGTAGTATCCCTGTTAATCGCGTCAAACCGAACCTCCACATGGCTAAGAACATGTCTTTCCAGTGTACGTTACGCAGTGGATTATGGCTTCAACCAAAAGTGGGACAGTTTCAGAAAGATCTCCTAAAATGGTGAGACTCAGCATCATTGCCAGGGACTTGGGAAGAGTTTGCTCTGGGGTAAAAAAAACCCACAAAGCTCCCAACCTCCCAACTCTGAACTACCTTATGCAAAGAATTCTAAAGACCCAGAGCCCTCCCTGGTGGACTATGTGCCAGCCACTGAGATAGAGCCTTGACAATTGTATCAATTAATCCTTTGGTCAATTATAAACCTTCAGAAATACAGGTGCTAACTGCACCTATAAAAAGTGAGAAAATTGAGGACACACACAAAAAAGTGGCAGAAGATGCTTTGAACCAAGATCTGACCGTAAAACCCAAGTATGTAACCTCTGCAAGCTTCTTTCTCCCTGTGAAACTTTACATGAAGAAAAAAGCTGAAGTGTTTGCACTTTCAACTTGACTTTCACAAACCATAGGTCCTAGGAGAATTAATAAAGAAGGAAAGAAGGCAGAAGTCCACTTACCTCTTTTACCACCCTGTAGTTGTAGCTGCTGGTGCTCTCGTGCTTTTGTGACTTGTTATTCCCCTCCTAGGGACCAAAAATAAATGTAAGTGTGGTTTGTTCGGCCCTCGGGCAATAGTCTGTTTGTTCAGGTTGGCATCAGCATTTAGGAAACCATGAGAGTTTGGCAGTTTTCCTACAGTCATGCTGGGTTTCAGCCCAACTCATTCTGATTGACATGATTTCACTGAGGTGGGAGACGATGGGGGGTCAGCCTACTGAGAACAGGTTCTTTCCTGGGTGGGTCTGCAGGGGAAATCTGGTGCTCATCCACTCAACAACAAAGTCTATTCCCCATGGTCCAAGGTAACATGGAAAAGTAGCTAAACTTCCATTTTGCAGTTTATTTCCTAGGAGAATGGCTGTTACTTCGGCTACTTAACAAGCAGATCCCTGGAGAATAAAGCTCATCCTACAATCCTACAATCTGCACTTTTACCTAAAACCAGAGAGGATATTCCCTTGTTTAAGGAGCCCATCCATCTGCTCTGGAGGTGTGACCTGCGTTTCACCCACCTCTGTTTTCTTATGTTCATTTTCACCAGAGGCACCATCCATGACCTCGTCAGGGCCCTGCCCTTTGTACACCCAGAGCTCCGACTTTTCCACAATGGATCTCAGCTGATCCAAGTCTTGTTTGATCTGTTTGTAGTTGTCGACATCTTGGCTGGTAACAAGCAGCTGGACCTGAACAAATGTAATGTGTCAGGGGCGCACAACCACCTCTTGGAAAGTTGACAACACCAACACCAACACCAACACACACACACACACACGAATGGCAACCCCAGCTACCTGTTTGAAGGCCTGCAGGACCTCCTGCCTCTGACTGAAGTGCCGGAAGAGAAGTTGCAGGGCCCCCGACACCAGGGGCGGGTAGTCGTGCATCGTCAAATGCAGCAAGACTCGGAGGAAGGTTCTGCCGCCGTGGTCGTCCAAGTCCAGGGGGGTGTTCTCCTCACTAAAGGAGTGCATGGTAGGGGAAAGGCCAGATGAGCCACAGACGCCCTTCTCGCATGCACTCGGACCCAGACACACCCACCAGTCAGTTCTAACCCCGTAGTCAACCTTGGGGAACTTGAGTATTAATAAGCTCCTGAAACAACACAATCTTGTTTTAACTTCAACTCTATTGTAAGGTGAGGGCACAATGAAGATCTCACCACTGTCCAATTTTAAACCAACGTCCCTACCTTCCCACAGTGACAGGACCTGGCTTTTTTTATCCAGATTCCTGACTGACTCCTCGATTTGAGTATTCTGCTGGGTCTCATCTATCGGTGGAGAACTGCACACAGTTGTGTTTCTCCTCAATTAGGAGTTTATTGTTTTATGTAAGGTGCTGTAACTCAGGGCCTAGCAAAGTACCTGTGGTAAAGGACCTGTTGCGTATACTTCCACTTTACAGCTAACTGATGACTTAGTCTATACCAGGTCCCCTGACCACGCACGTGGATGTGGCAGTGTCAAGGTGCCATAAAAGTGGCCCAGTGATTACTCCCATGCTCTGTACTTCTCATGTCACAAACCGGTAGCAAGCAGTCTGCAGACCCCACTTTGAGGCGTGTTGCCACAAACCATGACCACGCAGTGTGCTTCAAACTGAGGTTCATTAGCAAGCTGCCAGGGGTTATCGCAGTATCTATTATAACTGTGTGTCATTTATATAATTAAAAAATTAGTAAGCATGTCCTTGATCAGAGAGCAGATCACTGCATAACTGAGCACTGCCACTCCATTGTTGTGTCAGTGGCTAGATTGTGTTTACAATCAAATGAATGCCAAATGGCGAGACCTTCATGTTTGCAGGTTAGCAAGAAAAGCACAGAGAGGATTTCACAGGAAAATACTCCATTCATGCTATGTGCTCCAAAAAGATGTGAAGACAGTGTCACTGCTGTTCAATACTAGAAAATGATGGGAGAGTTGAGATACCACGAGAGCACATGGGAGTGTCATCATGTTGAACTCAACATACTTTGTGTTTCAGAAAAACATCTTTCATCATAGTAAATAATACTGCTAATTCAAATTTCACAGGTTTTACTGTTAGACTGCTAACACTGGTGGCCCCCGCAACAAAAGAGACTTTCCTGGTATAGACATCCTTATGTAGGCCCCTCCCACACTGACACTGGGCTCAGCCATGTGATTTTCTTTGATCAACAGTATATTAACAACATGATACAAGAAGAGGCTCGATTAGTGTTGTACATTGTTGGCCTATCCTGTCAGGATCTTTGCACTTAGAGCCAGTCACCATGCTAAAAAGAAGCCTAAGATAGTTACGTGTAGAGAGAGAGGGAGGGAGGGAGAAAGAGAGGTCCCAGCCTTGCAGATATTCCTACCAAGGAGCCAGAAATGTGAGTATAAAACCTTGGATGTACCAGGCCCAATCACCAGCCCCAAGAGACTGAACAATGATCAGCAGATGAGCCATCCAGCTTAGCCCCAGTCAACCCACTTAATTCTGAGAGGCAATAAAAGGATTATTTTTTAATCCACTAAGTATCTGGAGTAGTTTGTTACACAGCAATAAATAACTGAACCAAGTATGCGTATGAAAAGAACTATGCGGTGGACGCCTGGGTGGCTCAGTTGGTTAAGCGTCTGCCTTCGGCTCAGGTCAGATCCCAGGGTCCTGGCATTGAGCTCTGCGTCAGGCTCCCTGCTCAGTGGGGGGTCTGCTTCTCCCTCTCCCTCTGCCCCTCCCCCTGGCTCATGCTCTCTCTCTCAAATAAATAAAATCTTTAAAAAAAGGACTATGTGGGGCGCCTGGGTGGCTCAGTTGGTTAAGCGACTGCCTTCGGCTCAGGTCATGATCCTGGAGTCCCTGGATCGAGTCCCGCATCGGGCTCCCTGCTCAGCAGGGAGTCTGCTTCTCCCTCTGACCTTCCTCCTTCTCATGCTCTCTGTCTCTCATTCTCTCTCTCTCAAATAAATAAATAAAATCTTTAAAAAAAAAAAGGACTATGTGCATAGGGTATTTATATGAGCTTGTGGCTCTTCGAGTCTTGTAGGTATTTGAGTCTCATAATAATGTTTTAAGTCAACATTGAGTAATCTAATCTTTTAAAAAGGGGATCATACATTTGTCTAATGTTAGGGACAATGTGTGTTTCTATTGTTGCATGGTCTCAAAAGAGCTCAGGGACAAAAATGGCAGTCCACCAGCAGCAGAAACACATGATCTTGCTAACCTCACTTTGTTTTCAATCCCCTCTTTCTTTCAACCCTATTTTGCACCATTAAAAAAAAAATCTTTTAATATGTGTATTTGGGGAAACCTACTTACATTCCTTCTATCCCAGGCAGGAAATACATAAACACACACACACACTGCCAACTAATATCATTCTGACCTAAGCACTAAGGGTTACAAAGAGAGCCATAAAATAACCTAAACCCAAAGACTAATTGTTTCCTAGAAAAATGAAGGGAAAGCCTTTTAGAGCTACACAAAAGGAGGCTTCCCAATCTTAGAACCACCTACAAAACCGAACACTGAAAATATACTTTCCTTCCTCCAAAGATGCCTTCTGCTTGCTCTTCAATGTGTTCAAAGTCAAGAGTACCTGAAAAGTTAGAGAACATAGCTTCAGATGTAGAAAGGTCTAAAAAAACGGGCTGTTGGTGAACTTTCCCAAAAACAGCCTTGCCCCGCCCATACATTAACTTCAAGTCTTCTAGAATCTTATCTTGTAAAACTGTGGAGCCAGGTCAACCCAGATCACACTGCCCAGTGGCTCTGGTGTGCACTGTTTCACATTTCTGCCAGTTTTCTACTGACTCACGAACCCCTTAGTAGAGCAGAGTGATGACCTCATGCCAAGGAAGCTCAGGCCTTGATAGGTGGAATTATGTCTATCACCACCACCTTTCCCTGTACACTTCATCACTATTTCTTGGGCAGGGAAAAACTTCCATCATGAGTAAAAGCTGCTGGTGGACAATACATTTTCTTAGAGGGTTTTGTTTGTTTTTTTGGCATTTCATGTAACCACAACACTACAACCCTCACCTGTCTTATGACTAAGGCACTCCAAGATGGAAGGAAACAAGACCTAACCCAGAAGAGATCAAAACTCTTTCAATTATTCTTTTGTTCAAAAAGGATAACTCCCAGGATTTTGTTCTCAATTACAATAATCTTCAAAATATTCATATTTTACCCTTTCTGTAGAATGTACTATTGGAATCCCCAGCTTTTATTAGACCCACACCCCATTCTATGGCTGAAATCCCATTGCGGAATCACTAACCTGGTACATTACTTGGCCCCTCTTGGCTGCTATTTCCGGAGGATGTTTCTGAAGTCTGGGAATTGCTTTCATCAAACTCTCGCTTAAATATACACAGGAGGCAGGAGATCCTATAATCCAACCTCACATTCAAAATAAACTAAAGATTCAAGTGGAAATGGAAACAGATTGGTTACATTAGCATACCACCTGTAACACTTTGCCAAGCCACTGCACTCTGGCTGGGCCTGGTATCTGTTGCATCAATTACCTTAAGCACTAAGTGAGCCAAATATTTGGCTTAGAATTCAACAATTACTTTAACAACAGACTTCCATGGGGTATATCAAGCCTGTCCACAGCACCTTAGCTTCTAGTGCAAACTTCAACATCCAGACAATTTAATAATTGGAACAATAAATCACTCACTCCCTCCTCCATCCTCTATAACACATTACTTCAGCAAGTAGTAAATGCCAATTCTGGGCCTTGAGAAGGGTGAAATTGGCTGCTTTAATTTAAAAGAATTAACAGAGAAAAATATGTTTTTCCTACTAGAAATTAGCTTGGTCCCTATTTTTCATTTGAGATGGTTTCCTTTGATTTATATACCAACACTTGGGTTCCCTCTTCATTCACTTCCTAGATTCTTTTGCCCTCTACTCTGTAGCAACGTTACCTTTTCCCTGATTGTTGCTAGAGCCAAAAAAAAAAAAAAATCAACCACAATCCCATTATTTGAGGACCTTAGTGACATTCTCCCTTCCATTCTCTCCTCGTCTCTGCCTTGCCCTCTTGGTGACCTTACCCAGTCCCAGGGCAGTCACCTCTCCCAGATGAGACACTACCTTGGCTTGCCTTCTGAGCTCTTGGTCATTGTTTCCTACTGACTACTGGACATCCCATTTGGGGTCTTCCCAGAGTCTCAAATCTAATCAGAGACGAAGTCCTACTGGTGGTCCCACTTCCACCACTTCTCCTGGATTTCTCCCGACTATCACTTACCCCTGCTCACATCCTCCTTATCTCCTGCCTTGCCATCACCAGATCCACCTCCCAAAGGTGTTTATTCTTACATTAGTCCCCTGTATAAAAATCCTCAAAGGCTCACTAGAGAATAAAGTCCTAACACTTGAGGCACCCAGAACTCTCTAGAACCTGGCCTGGTCCTCCCTTCCAACCTCATTTCTGACAACCTCCGTTCCACCCACTCTAGGTCTCTAAGGGGAACTTAGAGGGGGAGGTGCTATGGTCCCGTGTGATGTCATGCCCTCATTCAATCTGCTCCAAGTTCAAGGGGACTTGAGAATGTCCCCTTGTTTCTATACTATAAATCCTGTCCATGCTTAAAAGTGCAGATGAAATCTTACCTCCTCTGTAAAAACCTTCTCTGGTGCTTACTAAATGGATCACATGACCCACTCCCAGGAGAACACTTTTCTCAGAGTTTCATTTCCTTATTTTCCTATTAGACTGTAAGTCTCTTGTGGATATAGTCTCTGTCCAAATCATCTGTGCATTCCTCCTAGTGCCCAGCAAAGTGCCTTGCATATGGTGGGGGCTCGTAAGTATTTGCTGAAACAATGACTCCATAGACCAATTGTTCTAAGATAAGGACAGCGAGAGGACCTGAAGGTGTGATCAAGGTTTACGCTGCATCACTGCTGATACACAGTCATGACACTAATGTACTTGGGACGCATAAGCCACAGCCTAAGAAGTCCTTCTCAACTTTTGGTCAGGCAAAAATTCAATGAGATTTCTTCTGAGTCATTCTCTATGGCCTTAACTATTTGAGGACTCTCATGAATGCTTTCTAACTATTGATAAAATGTGATTTCAGATTCAAAATACAAATTCTTAAATCTATAAACACTGATAATCACCTACTACATGTTCTGGGGTTGGCATTAGGCAGCATGGGATAAAAGAGAAAAGTGGTAACAGTGTTCTTTTCATTAAGGAGCAAAGGATTTTGTTGATGAATAAAAATGACCTACACGAGCAGAAAGGGGAAAACACAGGAGGGTTCTCATACCTAAGACCAATCCCTCTCTCCAGCAGACTGGCTCCCATACCTCCTTTTGCCCATGCAAGGTCTTCAATCCTACAATTATCTTCTCTCTCCTATGTCAACAACTTGTCCCTCTCTAGCTGACTATTCCATTCCGCATACAAACTTGCTATAAACTCCCAACTTAAAAAAAATACTACAACAAAAACTTCCTGTGACCAACAATCACCCTTCAGGCACCTCTCCATTTCTCTGTGCATTTTATAGCAAATCCACTCAAAAGAGTTGTTTGCACTTACTCCCTGATTCATCTTCTCCTGTTCCCTCTTGAACCCAACCTATTCCAAAACTTCAGGGTCTTCTCACTGCTGTTCCCTCTGCCTCAGAGACTTTTCCTAGATATCCACATGCTAGCTTCCTCACTTCATTTGGGTCTCTGATCACGTCGCCTTACTAGAGAAGCCCTGTCTGAAACCCCATCAAAAACAGTATCCCTGATCCCCACCCCCTGGTGGCCTCCAAACCATCCTGACCCTCCTTTAGATTTTAGCATCTTTAGCACTTACCACTATCTGACACAGTATACCTGTTTAATATGCCTATGACTCCTACCAAAATGCAGGCTCTTTAGAATCAGGAATTTAATCTATGCTGTTCAGTGCTGGATCTCCGATGCTTAAAAGTACTTGACACAGAATCAGTTTCAATAAATATTTGTTGAATAAATGAATGAAAAAGGAAGGGAGGGAGGGAGGCAGGTGTTGCCAAGTTAATGGAGCCTTAAACTAGTTATGAACGATAAGCAAGGAATCCAGCTTCATGTAGAAGCCTAACTAAGTGAATTAGCTTGGGTGAAGACATAGAGGGCAAGGATTATGAAAAGCTAAGGTAACTACAGGAAATTCTGTCATGGCTGGAGGGACAAAGGCACATCGGGGAGGGGTATGAGATGATAGTAGAAGGATGAATACAGCTGGTTCATAAATGGCACTTAACAATGAGCTAAGAATTTATCTCCATTCTCTCCCCAGAAGGTCTAGGGCTTTATAAAAGCAGGGACACAAACCAGATGGTAGCCCTGTGAGCACACTCCTCTCCGCCTCTGATTGATGGTTACCTGGAGTATTTCGATGATCTTCAATTTGGTGTCCATGACCATGATGTCCTCCTTCTCTGGCTCTGCCTGCTTCACGTTGCCTTCAGGGGCGGCAGCCATGGGAGTCATGGGTAAAAAGCCTCCTCCCCGGAGCACCACCTGGGTCATCAGCTCTCCAACCCCGTGGATGGACCGCATTACATTACTGCCTAGGAAGGGCCAGGACAGACCTCAGTCATGACAACATTTCGGGAGACTGCTTTCAGGTGCCTGGCAGGGGGCACAGGCTCGAGCATATTATTTAACAAGTCCCTGTTCCGACACATTCTCAGGACCCTAGGAACCAGAAAAGGTTAATACCCATCAAAAATTTGGGGATTCAGGAGTAGCGGAAAATACATGGGCTTTGAAATCCCCAAAGGGGCATTTTTGTGCATTAATTCACCTGCCAAATTTCACATGCTTGTTGCTATGCACAAGATTAGGGGTACAGGAGTTAACAAGGCACAAATTGAGTGCTGCTACTAACACTGACTTTGAGTACACTGGATTACCTCTGAGGCTCAGCTTCTCCATCTCTAAAATCAGAATAAAAGAGCTCAATCAGAGGATGAGATGGTGAAAAATATGTGAAATAACAGCACAAGACCTGACAGATAGAGGAGGTAAGGAGATGTACTCTTTCTCTTCCAGCTGTAGAGACAAGTTCAACAATTATCCAGACATGAGTACCTAGTACGTGCCCACTCTGACCCTAAAACAGAGGAAAAAAATACACATACAAAGGGAAATTTTCCTATTCACAGACTGGAAATACAAGTTTGGATTTTATTTCATCATATGCTAATATCATCATTAAATGCCTCACAACACATCGAATATGAGGGTAGGACATGTGTTCTTCAGAGATAAGCATTCAATTCGTTAGATAACTTTCAAATGGTTTGGCAAAATAGACACATAGACTCATATATAAATCTAAAGGAAATCGAGCAAAATGTGAATAATCAAGGACCCAAAGTTGTGGATCTATAGGTGTCTGCTGTGCTATTCTTTCAGCTTTGCTTTTTGTTTGAAAATGTCCATAATGGGGGCGCCTGGGTGGCTCAGTCGGTTAAGCATCTACCTTCGGCTCAGGTCATAATCCTGGGATCAAGCCCCACATGGGGTTCCTTGCTCAGCAGGGAGTCTGCTTCTCTCCTGCTTGCTACTTGCCGCGCCGCACCCCCCCCCCCCCCACTGGCTTCTGTGTGCTCTCTCTCTGCTCTCATTATCTCAAATAAATAAATAAAATTTAAAAATAAAAAAAGGAAATATCCATAATGAAAAGCTCAGAAGAAAAGGACAAAGAGAGGACAGGACCTCACAAGGAAACACATGACAAGAGTAGTAAGGGGAGAGCCTGGGAGGATGTGTCCCAAGCATGTGGGTGCCAGCAAATTCCACTCCTCTACTTTGCTGCAACATTCTTACCTTTATTCTCTTCTCCTTTTGCCATCTTGCTAATGGGGAAGATGGTTGTCACGTGCACGCAGTCCAGTATGGCCAGGAGGATTTTGGTTAATCGAAGAAGGTCAGAGAAGTTGTAGAAACCGAAGTATATGAGATTCCTAGCTAAATTTACAACCTGTTACATTAAAACAAAAGAGAGAGAGAGAGATGGTATTTCATAAACTGTACCCTTCAGTTTGATGTTGACTAGCTGATAAATGACTAATTCTGACCCTCATTATGATAAGAGAAGGCATATACTTTGCTTGCCATCTCTGATCAAATTTCATTTTGTTTCATAGGAGAAAAAAATAAGAAACAAAAAACTGCAAAGCTACTGACCTATTTCAATAACTAGCCAATCAACAACCGACCTAATCATATGTCTGTGCAGCTTCCCAAAGGTATTACAGGGCCAGCCACGTTATAGGCAAAGAGAACACAGGTAACAATATTGCAATTCTCAGAAATAGAACTCCTCACAAGGAAAGGTGGTCTCAAAGAGAAACATTTTAACTCAAAGGTAACAAGGATTTATGTACCTCAAATGATTAATCTGCGACAGATCCCAAACACAGTCTGTTTCTTTCCTGCCATTTTTAAGATAATGTACAGAATATACCTAATATTCTATCGTTTTACATGATACAATTCACCCTGGGTGGTACTTCTAAGGGCTTAACTACCATTAAGCCAAGTGACTGGTAACAGTTCTATTTTATTCTGGAACAAAATTGAGCTGAATTCCTTTTTATTACAAAACTAGAGTCTCATGATAGAAATCACCACATGCTAAAATATTATCTATTTACCCGATAGAAGAACGACCAATGAAAAGCAGATAAAAGATCATTTCATCATGAATTACCTCAAAGGTAAGCTTATTTTTCTCCTTATCAGAGAAAGGAAACCTCTGACAAACCACATCTCTTAAATACTCCTCCACAAATTCCATGGTCTGTGCAAACCTCTCCTTAATCTCATCTTTGGAAGTTCCACTACTATCATAGCTAAAAGAAAAGGAGAAAGAAAAGGAAATCAAATTCCAAGATCTTTGCACTTAGGCCTTCCCCAGCTGCTCCGGCCGCAAAGCCAAGAATCCCTCCCCAACACCTCCTATCCCACCTTCTGTCCTCACTTTATTTTTTCCTCCTTAGCACCTATCACCAAGATATGGAATCATTTATCTTGTTTGTATCTCTTTTCCCCACTAGTGTAGAGATAGTGTTCTGGTTGGTTCACGATACCTTACTTAGGGCTGACACAAAGTAGAGACACATATTTGTTGAATTAAAAAAAGGCACAAGATATAAAAAATATAATCATGCCATCTTTTGCATTCTTCCAAAAAAAAGGTAGTATTTGCCACACACTTTTTAAGCTTAATGAAAAAAAAAAAAAAGACTTCACCTTGCTTCTATGATTTAACTAGACCTAACCTGACCATAAGTGGTTTGTCTACCATGACATCAAACATTATGAGGTGTTAAAACAACATGAGGTCTTGGCAGGGAGAAGGAGCCAGGCTCACTCATCAATGGCGATCTCTGAGGGAATCTCAGACCACAGGCGGGCGTATTTCACGGGAGTGACTTGTTCCTGGGGATCTCGGTCCACGTGCATATGAAGCATAAGACGGCAGAAGGACGCCCTTAGGTCATAGGGCAGGTTCTCATCAGACATGCAGCGGAGAATGAGATCGACATCCAGCTGGCCTGATATTTCATTGATGGCCAGGTACTGGCGGTCTAGACACATCCTAGCAAAAAGGTTCAACTGATACCTGGAGAAAGGTAAAGTTATAGGAAGAAATCAGAATTCATTGAGGATGAATGGAAACACAGCAGGACAGTCCAGATAGACCCAACTTTCATAGGAGTGACATTTGGTCACCTGAACTTAGACTGACACGCTTAAATGGCTTCTGTACCAGGCCAATAAAAGAACAGTTCAAGCTACACCACTGGCCATACGTGTCCACCCTGTTGAGTTGGGAGTAATTACACGACTACTTGATTCCATTTTGCCCTTGTTTATTTTATGAAATAAATGGGGGAAAATGTTACATCTAAAATGGTTGTCTATTTCTTCAGCTGTTTTTTTATACAGTATAAAGACCATGTAGGAAATGTTAAAGGTATCTCCCATGTTGAGTCTAATCAGAAATTTTATAATACTCTTAGGATCTTATCTCATATAAGCCTACACTTTGACTTCTACATGAAAAACATGGTGTGTTGGGGCGCCTGGGTGGCTCAGTCATTAAGCATCTGCCTTCGGCTCAGGTCATGATCCCAGGGTCCTGGGATCGAGCCCTGCATCGGGCTCCCT